TTAATGATTCTATGATTCTGTGATTCCCATAGACATTGCAGAGTACTGGGCCAGGCAGGCAATTACAGACTCAGAAGGACATCATCTCTAGCCAGAAAGTACTTCTTTCCTGCATGACCATAAGAGATCTGGAATGTCTGTTCTATGTGGGATGGTAGAAGATGGATTGTTTCCAGGTAGAAAAGGAGTCATTGTCCTTAGAATCATAGAATCACAGAATCAGAATCACAAATGTTGGAAAAGACCTCTCACATCATTTAGTCTAACTGTGGTCCATCTTGCCTTTGACTAGACCAATTCACTCAATTCTCCTAAAACAGAACTCAGGTGGTTTTAAGGATAGCTTGAACAAGCTCTGGTCTGATCTTATGATCTGATTTTTGGGTGGTCTGATGTGGAGGAGTTAAACTCAGTGATCCTTATGGGTCCCTTCCACCTCAAGATATTCTATGATTCCATTATTCTAGGCTGCCATCCATATTGTGCTCCTGTTTGCTGTACTTCAATTTCTGACTCAAAATCCAAACAAACCTGCCTTTCTATTCTATGAAATGGGTGTGCTAATGAAAGATTCCCCGGGAGGGAGATGGCTTAGAGGTGTGAGATGGGGAAGACTCAGAAATGCAAAGATATCCTTGCCCATCTGTGCCAAGGACCATCCCCATGATGAGGCTGTTGGGATTCACAGAGTGATACACATCAACATACCTGACTTAGTGGTTGGCAACCACCTGTGGCAAGGATTTTGAAGCTAAATCTTTGAGGTCCCTTCCAACTCAAGCCATTCTATGACATATTTTTATAATATGTACAGCAGAGGTTTTCCAAATGAGGGCTGGAAGGGGGAGATTTTGGACAAGAAGATTGAGTGGGATTTGTCGTGTTAGCAGGGCTGACCTCTTCCCTTCTTGCATAAAGAAGGACAAAACACTGTGGCAACGTGAAAGCCTGTTCCTGAGCCAGGACCCTGGTTGGGATTATGGCTGCAGCACCATTTTTCAAGTCTGGTCTTCCAAGTGCTGCTGGAGGTTATGATGTTGTGTTAAGATGCAATCATCCATGTTCGTGTTTTCTCTCTGTGACTCGAGAGGAGGACATTTCTCTGAGTTGTTGGAATTGTGCTGGACCAGGCCCAAAACAAATGACATTGAACTTAACCCATCAGCAGGGAGCCTGATGGGATTGCTGCCGTGGGCTTGGAAAGCAGACATCCAGGAGCAGCTTCTGTGGGTAAACTCTGGTCTTTTTGCTCCTTTGTCTTCCCTACTTGCTTTTCACATGGGTAGCTACAGCTGAGAAACTCACTTTTTATTCTATTTGTTTAAAAAGGGAAGAAAATTAAGAAAATTCACTCATGCCTATAATTTTAAACAGAAAACCAAACATGCTCAGTGGCATGATCAGAAAAGTCTTCTAGAAACATATTTAGGTTCAAAACAGGGTTTTAGCAGTCCTTTTGGCTCTTCATCCTCCCATCTTCCAGAATGTCCCTGATATTTGGTTAACAATGGTGATAAGCCTGAAGATTTTTTGGTAAGATTTTATTCTTTCCCTACATTTTAAGCTGTATAGGATGGGTGCTGCTATGGGAAATCTTGTTTTGATCTCCTCCCTCCCTCCCTCCCTCCCTCCCTCCCTCCCTCCCTCTCTCGACCCCATTTCTTTTTTTGCAAACCACAGGAACTGAGATCAAGGAAGGGGTGATTCACTGTTCCCAAACAGCAAGTGGAAGAGTTTTGCTCTCTAAATGGGATAAAACTGATCCTAGGTGGCGGACTGGAGTTAGAGGGTCATCATTTCCCTTTTCTTGGCCATTTGAATGGGTTCTTAGGACAAGAGGGAACACCGTCTCTAGGTGAACCTTTGGGCAGCAGCCTTTCCAGTCTCCAGCAAAGCTGAGTGAGATCATCAAATTCTCCACCGTCTTCTAATATCAACATCCTTATATTTGAACATTTGCTCTGAATATTTATTGCCTTTATGAATCTGTTTATGAGGATTTGTTCAAAGGTTTCCTGGAGGAGGGGCCCTGGCCCGTGGGGCAGTAACAGTGCCTTTGGTTCAACACTGGGCAAACACACTCAGTGTGGTGGCAGCCCTCATCTTTGGTAGAAGCTTTCAAAGGTTTTTAAATATTTACACACACTCCCGAATGAAGGGGAGAAGGGGGGAAGCCTTTAAAAAAATGAGCCTGGTGAGGAATGCGAGTCAGAAATAACAAACAGGAGGCCTGACTGAGTCAGAAATAAATAAGGGAAGGACAAGAACAAAATCTCAACACCTCATTAATACCATAACTTTTCCTAAAGCATTACCTCATGAAGAATTCCTATAAATCTCATGGATTTGTTTTCTTCTGTTACTGGACTGTTCAGTCCAAGTGTCAGACTCATGCTCCTCTCTTCCTTCTCTACCCCAACTGGCCTTACACTGTTTCTGTCCAAACTAGATACGCAGGAGGGAATTTAGGAGAGATGCCAGCAATGCCACCATAGTCATCAAACTGCCTTTCCTACATTAGTGTCAAGTGTCCATCCAGCTCACAGCCTCACTGTGCTGGGTGCACAATGAGATATTTTGCCCTGAAGCTTTGGTTTCCAGCCAAGTATCTGACCCAATATGAGTGTTTTCTCCCTGTGCTATGTGGGGAAAAGCTGAGGGGATTGCTTTGGTCCAGCCTGGAGAAGAGGAGGCTCAGGGGAGACATTATGGCTCTGTACAACTTCTTGAAATGAGGTTGTGGTGAGGTGAGTCTTGGCCTCATCTCTCAGGTTAACAGTGTTAGGGTGAAAGGTAATGGCCTTAAGTCGTACCAGAGAGATTCTGGTTGGATATAAGGAAACTTTTATTCTCGGAAAGAGTGGTGAGGCATTGGCACAGCCTGCCCAGGGAGGTTGTGGAGTCAGCATCCCTGGAGGTGTTCAAGGGCAGTGGAGATGCGGCACTTAAGGATATGGTTTAGCAGGCAGGGTAGGGACGGGCTGGGGTTGGACTTGGGAATCTTAGAGGTCTTTTCCAACCTTAATGATTCTGTGATTCATTGATTCTATGATCTCTACAGCTCCTGGAGAAATGGCATCTGCAGGACATGGTTCATCTTATCCAAAAGTCAATGCCTGTTGCATTTTTACGTCTAGTGATCCCACTTGGACAATTTTAGGAGAATGGGATAGCTGTTTATAGAACTGTAGAATTGTAGGATAGTTAGAGTTGGAAGGGACCTTTAAAGGTCATCGAATCCAACTCCAATGAACAGGGATGTACACTGCTGCATCACTTTGCCTGGGGCCCAATCCATCCTTGCCTTGAAAGTCTCCAGAGATGGAACATCAACCACATCTCAACCACATCTCTGGACAACCTATTCCAGTACCTCAGCACCCTTAATGTAAATATATTAACAAATATATCAAACCTAAATCTCCACCTCTTCAAGCTTGAAAGCATTTCCCTTGTTCTGTCACCACAGACCCTGCTGTAGAGTCTGTCCCCTTCTTTCCTGTAGCTCCCCTTTAGAATGTGAAAGGCCACTATCAGATCTCCCTGGAGCCTTCTCTTCTCCAGACTGCACAGTCCCAGCTCTCTCAGCCTGTCCTTGTAGGAGAGGTGATCCATCCCTTGCATCATTTTTGTGACCCTCCTCTGGACACGATCCAACAGTTCCATGTCCCTCCTGTATTGAGGACTCCACACTGAGGAGTCCTCAGTGAGTTCTCAGTACACACACTTGAGGGCTGCACTCAATCCTTTCATCCCACAGCTAATATTGGTAATGCAGACCTTACACTTGGATTTATTGAACTTCGTGAGGTTCCTTAGGATGGCATCACATCCCTCTGGTGTGTTGACTGCACCCGCACAGCTTGGTGTCATCAGCAAACTTGATGAGCATGCACTCAACCCACTGACAATGTAATGGATGAGGACATTAAAGAGTATTGGTCCCAGAACTTAACCTGTGGGACACCACTCATAACCAGTCTCCATCCAGACACTGAGCCAGTGACGCTACTCTCTGGGCTCAATCCTGAAGCCAGTTCTTCATCTATTGAGCAGTCTACCCATCAAATTCATATCTTTACAATTTGGAGAGAAGAATGTTGTGGGGTACTGCGTCAAAGGCCTTACTGAAGTCCAGATAGATGACATCAGTGGCTCTCCCCTTGTCCATTGATGCAGTGTAGCCATCATAGAATGCCATTAGGTTGGTCAAACAGGATTTGCCCTTGGTGAAGCCATGCTGGTTCTCCTGCATCACCTCCTTGCCTTCCTTGTGCTTTCGTATCGCTTCCAGAAGGATCTGTTCCATTATCTTTCCTGGCACAAAGGTAAGACTGACAGATTAGTAATTCTCAGGGTCATCCTTCTTAACCTTCTTAAAAACCAGTGTGATGTTTATGTATTGGTTTTCCTGATAAGTTCAGAGCTAAATAATTTAGGTTGGATGTTAGGGGGAAGTTCTTCACAAGGAGAGCGGTTAGGCCCTGGAACGGGCTGCCCAGGGAGGTTGTGGATGCCCCGTCCTTGGACGTGTTCAAGGCCAGGTTGGACGGGGTCCTGGGCAACCTGATCTGAATGTGTACGTTTGGTGGCCCTGCTAGGCAGGGGGGTTGGAACTACATGATCCTTGAGGTCCCTTCCAACCCGGGTGATTCTGTGATTCTGTGATTCTGTAAATAGTGGCTGTAAGAGTCTGCTCAGGAGCTTAAAGCCCTTTCTTATCGTTGCGTCACTAAGTTTCTGACAATGTAGACCCTCCCAGATCCTCTACAGATACTTTAGGCACTGGAAAGACACTGTAAGGTCTTCTCAGAGCCTTCTCCGGGTTCAGCAACTCCCAGCTCTCTGCCTATCTCCATAGGAGATATGCTCCGGTCTCTGAGCATCCTTGTGGACTCCTCCAGACCTGCTCTAATAGGTCGAATTGCAGAGCTTGTCATCATTGGTTCAGAAAGCCCTGCTGGGCTTCACGCTCACTCACCATGTTTCCTTTCCTCCAGGCAATGCAACAAGACCTCCAATGGGAGTGACAGCTGTGACCTGATGTGCTGCGGCAGAGGCTACAACCCCTACATGGACAAAGTGGTGGAGAGGTGCCACTGCAAATACCACTGGTGCTGCTACGTCACCTGTAAAAAGTGTGAGAGGACTGTCGAGAGATACGTCTGCAAATGAAAACACCTCGCTCTGCTGAGCTGAGATGCTTCAGAGAAGAGAAAATACTTCCTTGACTAGATGTCGCTCATCTTGTACAGACATAGACTTGAAGAAAGATGGTAGGAGGAAAAAAAAAAAAAAAAGCAATCACATCAAGTAAAAAAGTGACTTTAAAGAAATGTAAAAAATGGAAGGCTTTCCCCTGCCAATAAAATGCTCTCTGAGAAGACACAAACTCATTTGGGATGGTATCTTCTTCCAAAATCTTCCCTATGGTTGCCAATGACATCCAGCCATCAAGTGCCTTAATATTTTGAGAAGCTAAAGTAGAAACTTTCCCTTGGGGAAGAAAAGCAGCTCCTGTCTGAATATAACCAAGATTCATGCTTGCCTATGCCTTCTTGCACAGATACTGAGTCTGCATTAGAACCATCCCAGAAGCAAAAACTCTACAACTTTTCAGCAATAACTGCATTTGTTGCCAAAGACCTAATTTTTAAAATGGAGGCATCCACTCTGGGTGGAAAAAGTGGGAAGAATTCAGGTCCATGCCCTGAAATGACCAACTCATTTTAACCTTTCTTTTATGCAGGTCTGTGACTTCCAATGGGACTTTTCCACAGGAAAACTTGACCCTAAGTTGTCTAGGCTTGATGGATTTTCACACTCAGCTATGGAAAACAAACAAACAAAAAGCCAGATGCCAGAGACAGTGAGAATAGGGCATGCTGAGAAGGGTGTTATGAGGTTCTTGGGTTGTAGTGGAGCCATTAGGATAAAGTATGACACTGAAGTGAAAATCCAGTGGAAAATAATAAAACATACAAAGCTCCTGCTCTCTTTCTCTTGCCCTTTGGGTCTTGCACTCTTAACTCTGCCACAATGGGCCACCCCCTCCTTAGGAAAAGATGCCACTGTGTCTTTCCCCAAGCAAAACTATTGAACCAGCCCCAAAACACTGCAGAGGGCAGAGTGGGTCTGGTCCTGGTGTGCAGACGTTCAGGTAGCAGCCATTCCCCAAAGTAAGGAGTGGGAACACAGCAGTCCTTCATGTGACTCTGCCCTGGTGCAGAGAAAACCACTATCGGTGGCTGTACATATTTTATTTTGTACGCAGACATACAGAAATATTTATAAGATATATCTCCTGCTTTACTCTGCTCTTCTTCCTACGTAAATATATCTCTATGTTATAAACAAGCCTTAACAATAGTACGCAATAAATGCTGAAGTTTCTGGTGCAACAGCAGAATGCTAGCTTATTATGTTTCATTCAAGGTTTCCTACTTGGAAAGCAAGCCGGGTCTCCTTCCCAAGGATGGGAGAGGCACAAGGCTCGAGGCACTCGCTGGCGTGGGATAGATAAGTTCCTGTATTCCCTCTTTCCCCAGCCTCTTCATTTTGAGCAGAATTAGCCAAGATACAATTAAGACAAAGAAACGGAGCGCTCAGGGGAGGAGAGTCACCATTCTCATTTTGCTCTTGTATCAGCAATCCTCTCATCACTTAAATATCCCTGTGTCCCCAAAGAGTGCATTAAGAAATGCGATTGATGTCTCTCATGGGTGGTTTGCTCCTTACTTCTGCATGCAGGGAGGAGAATCATAGAATCATAGAATATTCCGAGTTGGAAGGGACCCGTAATGATCCTTGACTCCAATTTGAGAAGCTGTGGAATGGAGATTTTAGCTTAAGATTACTTCATCTCTCTCTCTCTTTATATGTATATATATGTTTGCTACAAGCAACAATCTCTGTGTCTGTGTTAGGAAAGGCATCTGCTCCAAAAGCAGAAGGTATCAGAGCCTGTGAGGTTTCGCAGAACATTTCTGGGGAGCCTGTACCCCAGGAAAAGTGCTGTACAAATCAATCCTACAGAAAAGCAGGGCATTTAAGCACTTTCCCAGAAGGAAATACAGCCATAACAACACCGTTGTCCTCTTTTTCTTCTTTTCCAGCCACTCTCTAGGAGCCAGCTGTTCCTGACATGCCTCTGGGCAGCCTTTGGGAGCTGGAAGAAAATAGCATGGTGGCAATATGAGAGCGAAAATAGTACGACTAGCAATATTAGAGCTATTCTGTACTCTAGCATTGTGTGCTATAGTAAATTTAGAGATATGTTGTTCACCTTGGTTACTTTACTGGAATTGGTCTCTTCCTTGCCTTCCCTCCCCCAGCACTGAGCAGGTAGAAAGAGGCCTTTGGTACTTTGTCAGTGGTTTGTGTAATTGTCACCCCATAAAAACTGGTGGACTGAAACGTCTCTGCAGCGCGGTGTGATGAGAAGTTGGTTGTCTTTAGGCTGACATGCAGACAGGTTGGTGGCACAGATCCCGAAGCCAGAATTTGGCTTTGTTTGATATTTTAAAGACAAGGTCAGCCGTCATTCTTTTAAGGAATTTTCTTTTTAATTCAAGGTTCTGATGAAGCCAGGGCATGTTCTGACTGAAGGAAAACTTGAGCATTTCAATTCTGTTCTGTAATGACTTTTTCCTGCTCCCTTGCTGATGCCTTGAGTCTTTGCTTGGCGCAAAAAACAGTGAGATGGAAGAAATGCTCTGTATGCACATTGTTTTCAGCTGCAGTTCACTCCTACAGCGTCAGACCCTTGTCCCTCATCTGCTTTTCCCATGCCAGAAGAAACTTTATCTTTGCAGAGCAAGAGAAGATGTAAGTCTACCAGGCATCTGCAGGTCCTCTGACCCCAGGGTGGGAAGTGACCTTTAGATGTTGAACTGAAATGGCTGCGGCATTTGGAGATTTGTAATTTGAGGCATCCAGGCTTAAAACATCTTCTTACTTTTCTAAGAATCCTTCACCACTAGCTTAATCTGAGTTTTGCTTCTTTGAGCCCAGAGTCCTTGTGGCCCCAGCCCATGTCCCAGGCTGTTGTCATAGAATCATTTGAGTTGGAAAGGACCATTGAAGGTCTTCCAATCCAACTCCCTTGCAATGAAAGGGACATCTACAGCTCCATCAGGTGCTCAGAGCTGTATCCAGCCTGACCTTGGGTGCCTTCAGGGATGGGATATCCACCACCTCTCTGGGCAACCTGTGCCAGTGACTCACCATTTATACTGTAAAAAATCTTCCTTGTTTCCAGTCTAAATCCCTCCTCTTTTAGTTTGAAACCATTTCCCCTTGTTCTATCACAAGATCGTGCTGACGAGTCTGTCCTCCTCCTTCTTCCAGTTCCCCTCTCAATACTGGAAGGTCTGTTAATCAACACTGTTACACTGATTTTACCATAACTCCCAAGTTTCCAGAGCCCTTTACTTTCCAGAGTGGCTGCACCTTGACCAACATCCCTAGTTGCACTGTCCTTTTTCATCCAGCATATTAGAGTCATCTTGTTCTTAATGCTTTGGATGCTTTCCTCCTGGCATCAGCAGCAATTCCAATTGCAATTGCAATGAAACGTAGCTGCCAAATAGTTTTCTGTGCTTGTGTGGCCCAGAAGATATTTGTGAGAACAGCTACAAACCAGTTCTGCAAGAGTCTGCAAGGAAAATGTATCATTAATGGCAGGGCAAGATCTTCATGCACCAACTCTGCAGTAAGCAGCTTCCAAGACACTGAAACACAGAGGTCTTTAAGTTTCTGAATGAAATGGCTCCAATTAATGTGAATGCCTCTGTCGGGTGATGCTATAGTTCCTCTCTCCTAACATGCCCTGCTAGATCCTTAAAGCTGGTAGCATTTGGCTCAGCTCTGCACCCTACCACACAGTTCAGTTGAATTACACTAGCTGGAAAAATACAGCTGATGTATTCCCATAAATATGATTATTTCAAAATATTGCAATCTTACCCCTGAGGGAAAAAGGCAAGCTGGCTTGAAAAATGTTATATTGGTGGCTTTGTAGCATTTAATCGTTTGAAGAAATATTCACGATTTAATAAAACAATTTATATTTAATGATATTTCCAAATCTGAGGACTTAAATCTTGCACTCATCCAGCTGGCTTTATATTTTTTGACGAATTCTCCCCACATCCTCACCCTGTTCCATTTTTATGCCATTTAAATTGCTCCCCAAAGGTAGGCAAATGACATTCATTGCAGAAAGCTCTCAGCCCACCCTTCATTTAATCTGCAAAATGGGAAGTGTTTTAGAGCCATAGAATGATTAAGGCTGAAAAACACCTCTAAAATCATCAAGTCCAACCATCAACTCACCAAACTGTTAACACGGATCACACTCAAGCAGGCAGCCCATCAGTGTTTCACGGGCTGCCACTACAAAAGTCCTTAGTGATGGGAGGGATAGGGAAAAGGAGGGACAAATCTGGATCCAGTGAATGGTGTCTTTGTCAGGAAGGTGATACAAGAGTCTTCAAGGGACTGTGATCCCTGAAGGCAACCACCAGCATCATCCCAGTGTGTGTGCGTGTGTTGCCTGGCCAGGGTACCAGCCTGGGAAGCGCTGGGAGGATGCTCTGGAGGTAGTGGGAGGAAAACAGCCCTGGGCTTTTCCTTCTCCTGCACTATTTGTTTGCAAACACGTTTCTAACGGCATCTAGGGCATCAAGGAAAATTCAAGAAGGAAGCAGAATCAGAGAATCGTAGAATGGTTTGAATTGGAAGGGGCCATTAAAGTTCATCTGGCCCAACTCCCCCAAGGTGAAGAGGGACAGCCACAGCTCCACAAGGTGCTCAAGGATGGAGCATCCACCACCTCTCTGGGCAACCTGTAGCAGTGCCTGGTTACCTTTATTGTAAAAACTCCTTCCTTATATGTAGTCTAAATCTCCACTCTTTTAGTTTGAAACCATTTCCCCTTGTCTTATCAGTGAAACCATCCTGCATTGTCTAAAGTCATTTTTTTCCCCAAACTTAAATCGTTCCCCTTATTACGCATTCTACAACCACCCATGATATCCTTAACACCCTCACCCCATCTCAAAGATTTGCCTTCCTTGACCTGAAACGCTATTGTGTTGCCATAAGAGCAGACCAGACTCAAACTTTGTCCTCTACATGTGGCAGACGGAGTAGAAAACAAGATTTGGGAGAGGGAAAGAAAGAACAGGAAACTTGAAATCCACCTGAGATTAATGACTTTAACATGTACAACATGTTTTGTTTTGCTTTGTTTTCCCCTCAGGAGCAGTTTCATCAGTCAGACAGTGTTTGATTAAATATCTCAGCAGAGCTATGGTTTATTCATCTAGAACAAAAGTTATCCTCCTGGTCAGGGACACAGCATTAGCTTTGTTTTCTAATTATAAGAGCAACAGCGATAATAAAAAGAATAACAATAGTGTGCATTGTGGATCAATTTAGTTTGGTTTTGTTTTTCTTTGTTGAAAGCAGGTGAACTGTGTTTTGTCAGACTTGTAAATGAGTGATTTTAAAGATCATTTCTGTGTTTTGGGGAGGCTTTTGCTGAGAAGTGGAATTTCTCAGTGTTTTCACCCAAACCACATGACCTAACAATGTCTCCTTAAAAAAAATAATAAAACAGAAGAAAAGATTGTAACTTAGTTGCACGACTTTAGAAGCAAGAGCATGAGGAGGGGTGCTGCAAATACTGCATTCTTCGTGCATGTAGAGAGGGACCTGAAGCACGAAATCTGCCATGGGTTGTGTTATGAAGAGTCTTCCCATCCACACAACACAGCCACAACCTGAACACGTGCATAAGTGTTCCTCTGGATTGGGGCCAAAGTGCTGAAAGCCTCAGAGGATGGAAGGGCAGTTATCAATACCTGAGATCTCTCTAAGTGGTAACTGCTGACAAACGTGGGCTTTTTGAAATGGAGAGATGCATTTCTTCCAGATTTCCTAAGGCTAACACTGGGCCTCACATTCACCCTATCTGGAATGG